CTTATGTTTAAGTCTTTAATCCATCTGGAGTTAATTTTAGTGTAAGGTGTCAGGAAGGGGTCCAGTTTCTGCTTTCTGCACATGGCTAGCCAGTTTTCCCAACACCATTTATTAAACAGGGAATCCTTTCCCCATTGCTTGTTTTTGTCAGGTTTATCCAAGATTGTATGGTTGTAGATATGTTGTGTTGCCTCCTATGACTCTGTTTTGTTCCATTGGTCTATATCTCTGTTTTGGTACCAGTACCATGTTGTTTTGATTACTGTAGCCTTGTAGTATAGTTTGAAGTCCAGTAGTGTGATGCCTCCTGCTGTGTTCTTTTTCCTTAGAATTGACTTGGCTATGCGGGCTCCCTTTTGGTTTCATATGAAGTTTAAGGTGTTTTTTTTTCCAGTTCTGTGAAGAAGGTCATTGATAGCTTGATGGGGATAGCATTGAGTCTGTAAATTACTTTGGGCAGTATGGGCATTTTCATGATATTGATTCTTCCTAACCATGAACATGGAATGTTTCTCCATCTGTTTGTTTCCTCTCTTATTTTGTTGAGCAGTGATTTGTAGTTCTCCTTGAAGAGGTCTTTTATGTTCCTTGTTAGTTGTATTCCTAGGTATTTGATTCTCTTTGTAGCAATTGTGAATGGCAGTTTGTTCTTGATTTGGCTCTCTTTAAGTCTGCTATTGGTGTATAGGAATGCTTATGATTTTTGCACATTGATTTTGTATCCTGAGACTTTGCTGAAGTTACTTATCAGTTTCAGGAGTTTTTGGGCTGAGACAATGGGGTCTTCTCGATATACTATCATGTTGCCTGCAAATAGAGACAATTTGGCTTTCTCCTTTCCTATTTGAATACCCTTTATTTCTTTTTCTTGCCTGATTGCTCTGGCTAGAACTTCCAGCACTATATTGAATAGGAGTGGTGAAAGAGGGCATCCTTGTCTATCTGCCAGATTTCAAAGGGAATGCTTCCAGTTTTTGCCCATTCAGTATGATATTGGCTGTTGGTTTGTCATAAATAGCTTTCATTATTTTGAGATATGTTCCATCAATACTGAGTTTATTGAGGGTTTTTAGCATAAAGGGCTGTTGAATTTTTCAAAGGCCTTCTCTGCATCCATTGAGATAATCATGTGGTTTTTGTTTTTGGTTCTGTTTATGTGGTGAATTACATGTATAGGCTTGCATATGTAGTTTTTAAACTTGAACAATGGAAAAACGTCTTTCCTTAATATGATGTAAACATTCTCTATGGCACATATCCATACTGAAGCATATTGTTGTCATTCTTCTGAACCAATCAAGAAAAAAATAAATAATTATGTTTTACAAGCTAATTTATAAATATTTCCATTGTTTCAGAACAATAGTCAATAGACCTAATGCATAGCCCTGAAATCTTCTTTTTTACTTAAGTATTTCTGAAGCAAGAAGTATTTAGAAAATTTCAAGAAATATGTAAGCTGGAAATTATATATAGTTGTGACTGTACATTTCTGTGAGACATGAAGTGTTTTTTTTTCATTTCATATAAAATTAATTAAGAAATGAAGAAAATGCCTGTATGGTCCGTAAGGATCATCCCCTATTAGCACAAAACTATAAATTGTTATTTAACTTTTTAGTTTCTTTAGCAATTCAGTTGTGTTCTACATTATGTGGTTGAGTCACAGTCTTGGCTGAGTGTGGTGGCTCACACTTGTAATACCAGCACTTTGAGAGGCAGAAGTGGGCAGATCACAAAGTCAGGTGGTCAAGACCATCCTAGCCAACATGGTGAAACCTATCTCTACTAAAAATATGAAAATTAGCTGGGTGCAGCAGTGCATGCCTATAGTTCCAGTTACTTGGGAGGCTGAGGCAGGAGAATCACTTAAACCTGGGAGTCAGATGTTGCAGTGAGCCAAGATCATGCCACTGCATTCCAGCCTGGATGACAGAGCAAGATCCCATCTCCAAATAAAAGAGTTACAGTCTGAAACTGAAGATACAAAATAGTCTGAAAACATGAATAGGAATTTTAAAGAGCAGGTTGAGAAAAACAGTAGATTGATAGGTAAAGACAGATATGCCGGTATAAATGGGGCTCAGGAAATTTGAAGAAAAGACAGCAAACTGCAGGGTCCTTGTTCTTAGATTTTGGCTCCAGGCTGTAAATTTTGATATCTTGTTAACCCTAGGCAAATTGGGAACTACTGCAACTGTAAGAAACATCTCTTTATTGGTTTCAATTCTAAGGCAAATTTTAAAGAAATAACAATTGTTAAAATACTTTTTTTGTCATAAAAGCACAGTGGCGTTTTGGGGAAGCATTTGGAAAATATATAAAAGTAACAAGGGGAAAATCAAGTGATCTGGATTCCATCTAGTCAAGTAACACTTGAATTTTTTTAAACATGCTTATATATATCAACACACATGTATGTTTTTGTGTGTGCATCTTTGAAATTAAAATAATTTTAAGAAAATAATACACAAACTGTAATTCTACAGCTTAATGAATTTTTACATAGTGAACACACCTATATAATCACCATTCATAACAGAGGCCAGAAATTAATCAGCACTTCAGAAGCTCGGTTTTGTGATAATTTCTGTTGCTGTTTTGTCAACTTCTTCAAAGTGACCTACATTCTAATTTATCCCATGTAGAGATTATGCTTGTTTTTGAAGTTTATATAAATGGAATCATATAGTATGTGTTATTTTATGTCCCAGAAACTAAGGTTCATGAAATTAATCCATGTGATTACTTATAGCAGTAGTTTGTACATTCTCATTACTCTGTATGATTCCATTACATATATAAAACACAATCTGTATAACATCTACTGTCCATGGACATTTGAGTTGTTTCCAGATTTTGACTATATAATGCTGTTCTGGCCATCTTTGTACATGTCTTTATCTATCTACTTATTTATTTTTTGAGATGGAGTTACACTAACGTTGCACAGGATGGAGTGCAGTGGTGGAATCTCAACTCACCACAACCTCCACCTCCTGAGTTCAAGCGACTCTCCTGCCTCAGCCTCCAGAGTAGCTGGACTACAGGTGCCTGCCACCACTCCTGGCTGATTTTTGTATTTTTAGTAGAGACCAGTTTTCACTATGTTGGCCAGGCTTGTCTCAAACTCCCAACCTTGTGATCTACCCACTTCTGTCTTCCAAAGTGCTGGGATTACAGGGGTGAGCCACTGCACACAGCTGTACATGTCTTTAAATAAATTTTTTATTTAACTTTAAATAAAAAATATGTACAAATCACATATGAATAGTAAGATGAATTTCAAAGGGTAAGCCAATACACAGACAAAGAAATAAGCTGGCCGGGTATGTGGTGGCTCATGCCTGTAATCCCAGCACTTTGGGAGGCCCAAGCAGATGGATCACTTGAAGTTAGGAGTTCAGGATCAGCCTGGTCAATGTGGTGAAACCCCATATCTATTAAAAAGACAAAAATTAGCCACGCATGGTGGCATACACCTGTAATACCAGCTACTCAGGAGGTTGAGGTAGGAGAATTGTTTGATCCTGAGAGGTAGCAGAGATTGCGGTGGGTGGAGATCACGCCACTGCACTCCAGCCTAGACAACAGAGCAAGACTCTATCACAAAAAAAAAAGAAAGAAAAACAAGAAAGAAATGAGCCATTACTAAAACCCAACAATTCCCCACTATGCATGGTAATTTTTAATTAATACTGAATATTGGTCATGAAAAAATTATAGAGGCTTGGGATAAAGTTATGTTAATGAAAAGAGTATTTCCTTTTGCTTCTGTTAAAATAGAGGCAGATCACCTTAATCCAGTCAAAGTTTGACTGAGGTCCAGTCTTTTCCCCATGCACCGTGACTCACATGGTGTAGAACTTCAGTGACCCCAACAGAAAGCCTGGGTTATTTATCAAGACCTGTCTCTTTGGTAACTAAAAAATTACTTCATTACTTGACCCCTCAGCCCCATGACTGCTGCAAAACCTCTTCAGCTTCACTCACACTTCATCACTTCTTAATGCTCAGCTTTGTAGCCTCTCGCTACACATCACTTAATTAATGGAAATTGAAATTTTTTTTAACAAAAGATGGATAATTCTCTCATGAGAGTATCACATTGCTTTTTGCTCCTTTTTCTGTTACTAAATTTTTGATACCATAGCATACCAGGTTTCTTACTTTCCAGGTTAATGTTCTTTCTCTCTGTACCTTTGCTCTCAGCCTTCTGTGATCAGCCCCACACTCTGACAGAGCTAGGTAAAGGTTCTGTACTGTGCTCAGGCTTTGATTAGAGAGAGGTGTCCAGCTTGAGTCACGAGTAAAGACAGTCACTGATTGTGCAGAAGTCACTGACCTACATAATATTGTCTGCGACAGAACAGGGATTTAACTTTTTACTAGGTAGTACACACTACTGGTAGGTTTACCTGCATTCCATAGGCTATATGCTTATCATATAATCATTTCATGCCTACTATACGGTAGTCAAAAAGCTCTTGGTTAAAATGTACACCTAGAAAATTACTAAGGTAGCATTTTCTGATAGCATTAGCTTTCCAGGAAATGCCCATTTGATGTACCCTGCTATTCTATAATGTACTGCTTTTATTTTTAAACAGTAAAAAAATGCAAGCATCAATAACTACAGAAATGGCACATTTTAGAGATAAAGCAGCATATGGGTGTATAAACAAAAGCTTGCCACCCGTAAAATATGAACAAGTAAAGTTAAAGCCATCTTCTCAAAGTGAGTCTCTGGGAAATACTTGACATTTCCAAAAAGGTGTTTGCCCTTTAATATCATCATTTGCTTTTCCTATCTGTTTTCTAGGTGTTTGAAAGTTGCAAGCTTCTTTCTTAATTTTTATTTATTTTTATTTTTTGGAAAGCTAAGGACTAGAAAGAAGAATTAGATGCTTTTCAGATAGACAAATGCCAGGATGACTACTTAAATGAATTCTAAGTAAAAATAGCTCCTCTCACATTTACTGCTTGGTTTTTTCTTTAAGACCTCAACTGCCACAGTAAACGTGGTGGTGACGGATGTCAATGACAATGCTCCAGTGTTTGATCCTTATCTGCCGAGAAATTTATCTGTGGTGGAGGAAGAAGCCAATGCCTTTGTGGGTCAAGTAAAAGTAAGTGGAATATTTATATAGATCTTAATGTATTTTTTCAAAGCGTGTAAGTTTCTTACATTTTAATTCTGAAAAGAGACTTAGCTAATGTAATCTGTTAAATGACTGTGCTGGATACTCTTCAAGACTTTTCAAAAAAATGAATCATATCCTATACATTTTAATTAACTTACAAGGATACAGATTTACATTTTATGATTATTTTATAATTTAAACATTGATTAATGTGATATCATGCTAATTTAATATATATTGTTAGTTTCTATAGTTAAAATCTTTTACAGAAACATGTAATTAGGTGTATTACTTGGTATGGATGTGGACATTTAGACCTCTAAATACCTATATGTAGATTTTTTTTTTGAGACAGAGTCTCACTCTGTCACCAGGTGCCAGGCTGGAGTGCAGTGACACAATCTTGGCTCACTTCAACCTCTGCCTCCCAGGTTCGAGCAATTTTCCTGCCTCAGCCTTCCAAGTAGCTGGGACCGCAGGTGCCCACCACCATGCCCAGCTAAGTTTTGTATTTTTAGTACAAATGTAGGATTTCACCATGTTGGCCAGGATGGTCTTGATCTCTTTACCTCGTGATCCACCTGCCTTGGCCTCCCAAAGTGCTGGGACTACAGGCATGAGCCACTGCACCCAGCCCTATATTTAGACTTGAACTGATTTCATTATGTAAATATTATCTTTAGAATCTACCGTGTGTGTCCAATATTTTGCACATACCCCTTTCCCAGCACTCAGAAGACTAATTCTTCTGAGTGTTCTTCTGGGATCTACCTGAATGTAAGCCAGTTTCTGTGGTTCATTTGATGAATAATTCCTTTATTGTTAAAGCAGCAACAGTACTTCCTGATTTGGGCCATTCTTGGGGTCTTGAACAGAGTAATTGGTCTAAAAGTCACAGAGAAGAAAATATTTTGAGGAAGATGTGTTTAATTTGAAGCATCAACCTCAGATGAGGTGTTTATGTGGTCTCCAGGTGAGGAAAGACTCTTAGTCTAGTAAGGAGGTGTGAGCCACCCAGATGTTGCAAACCCAGAGTTCAGGGTCCTACTCCTTCCCTGTTAAGGTTCTGACTTTTCCAGAGAAGGCTTGCTGCTGCTTTGAAGTTAGCCTTCTCTACTGTTCTATTTAATTACTCTCAGGATTTAGTGTATATGTTTTCAAGTTCCATAACCTCTCAGGAACTGGACAATTAAAATTATCAGGATAAATAACTCTTATGCATGAGTCTGCATCTTTTTCTGGAGTTTGCCTTGGAGTGAAGTTTCAGTTCTCCTTATGACAGCTGGTTTAATAGCAATCTTGTTATTGTCTGCCTTCTCTTTATAAAACCAGACTAAAAAACAGTCTGGTTTTTAGTTCAGTCTCCTTTAAACTGCAAAAGGAGAGGGTTTCTTTAAATGGTGTTGCAGAGATCTTGTGACTTTCACATAACATCCTGAGATTTTGATTTACCTGTGTAAACTTTTTTAAAAGACATTTCTTTTCCTTCAGATAACTAACAATACTTACAACTACCAACTGCACAGTCATTATCATTATCACTGTCATCATATCACTCAAATCCTGGAAATGCTGCAGAAGGCATACATAGCCTTACATGTTTAAGCCATCTCAATTCACATAGGGGAGAATCTCGGGATTATGATGTTATAAAATGCCAGCTGGTCTTGATGCCAACTGGCCAAGAAGCAATTCAACTCCAGCATCCCACCTAAAAGGTCTGCTCCCCACCCCATTAGTACCTCTGGTGTGAAATATCTTAATGTGGATTCTCCAACAGAAAATCTGGATACAAAATATTTATGTGTAAGTATTTTTTGAGAAGTTCAGATGGAAGTGAGAAACTGAGGTAAAGAAGAGAAGGCAGACAATAACAAGATTGCTATTAAACCAGCTGTCATAAGGAGAACTGAAACTTCACTCCAAGGCAAACTCTAGAAAAAGATGCAGACTCATGCATAAGAGTTATTTATCCTGATAATTTTAATTGTCCAGTTCCTGAGAGGTTATGGAACTTGAAAACATATACACTAAATCCTGAGAGTAATTATCTGCAATGTTGGACAATGGTGTGCCAAATATTTGGATTTTATTGCCTCCAGCAGAAGCAAGTAGCCAAATTCCCTCTGCAGAATCTAAAAGAAGGACACTGAGTCATGCTGTAGATACTGCTGCAACAGTGGCCCACCTGGAGCAGCCACTGCAAAAATAGCAGCTGCAGCAGAGGAGGTGTGACCAGGGCTCCATGCTTCAGGGAACAGGTGAAACCAAGGAATAGGCAGGAGCCTAACCCCTGTCTAAGTTGGCAGGGTGAGAGCCTACCATCACATGCATAGCTGAAGCTGTCCAGCTGTGGCTGCAGACCTAGGCATCCCTGTGCTTTCAGGGACCCAGGAAATTTCCCTGCCCCCACAGGCTCAGAATTGCCTGCACCTGCTGCCTGGCCTCTTCCAGCTCCTGGAACCTTCTCCAATTTTGGAGCAAAGTTGAGGCTGAGCCCGCATGCTGTCACAACCAGGCTGGGTGTGTGCATGCTCAGGATGGAGCTGATATACCAGCCCCCTGCCGCCTCAGCTCCCTCTAGACTTTGGACACCAAGGAGCATGGGAAGGAAGCCAAGAGGGGAAAGAGGGCTGCTCACTGTGGGCCTGCAGGCACTCTTCCTCTGGGCACCATGAACAGCATGATTGATGGCAGCAGGAGACAGGTTCCTGGAAAGGGGTGAGTCCCTGGTGAAGCCTCACCTTCAAGCCAGAGATGACCTAAAGCCTAGGGGCCAGGCTGTCAGTTCTGAAAGAGTCCATGGCCCAGAGTGAAAACTTATGGTGCTTTTTCCAAGCCTGTCCATGGCTACCCATGGACCAATCAGTGTGTACTTCCACCCTTCTGAGCACATAAAAGTGCTGGAGCCAGCTGGACTCACACAGACATTAAGACTACCAGCTGCAGGAAGGAGCTACCCACTTTGGGTCTCCTCACTCATCGGCACCACCTTCCTGTAGAAATGAGCTACCCATTTCAGGTCTCCTCTCTGCTGAGAGCTGGACACTTACTGGGACAACCTGCCTGTGGATACAAGCTACACACCTCAGTCTCCCAAGAGCTGTTCTGTCGCTCAGTAAATCTCCTCTCCACTTTAACTCTCCAGTCGTCTGTACCTCCTTCTTTTTGGATGTGGGCTAAAACTTGAGACCCACCGAATGGCAGGACTAAAAGAGATATAACACAAACAGGGCTAAAACATGCCTGCCATCCCACCCACCATGTTGCAGGCAACAAAAAGGAGAGAAGAGTTGTGGCCCTTCAGGGAGCCCCTTATCCAAATGTGGATGCTCACAGCAGAAGCTGCTTGCCATGTATGTGATTTAGTCAGAAGCTTGCATGGAGAGGACACCTGGAGCTACCCATCTGGCCACAGCAGCCAGCGTGCCTGACTATCCACAGTGGCAAGACCCCACACTTGCTTACTCATGCACCCCGTGCTGCTCTGAGCCTGGCTTGCTCTGGGCAAGTGAGGGATTTGGGCCAATAGCATGAGGCAAGCACAGCCTACCAGGTCGAATGGGTGATACAGACACAGGTAGTCAGAGCAAAACTCAGGCAAAGGCACCACCAGCCACAGAGGTGTATGGTGGCTGGAAAAGCAAAACCCAAAGGATCCTGTGACAATAGCAGGAGATGGAAGTTGGCCAAAGCATACCAAATGCTCTGAGGGACATGCACAGGACACTGACAATTTTTGCTACATCAAGAAAACAAGGTAATAAAGTCTCTATAATGGGGCACATGCAAAAAATATCAGCAAAGGAAAAATGTTGAAGTTGATTCATGAAGGAAGAATACTGGTAAGAGGGAAGTTGAGAGGGGTTGAGATCTGTCTAGGGAAAGGTAGTTGTATAACTAAAGGCACAGAGAAATGAAAGTATAACATAGCATAGTTAGAATAAATAAGACAAACCATGTCATAAACATTTGTCTATACCACGTTGTAAAAGTTAAATGGGGAACCACTAAAGAGTCTGAGGTGTGGCAACATGTGAGTTGTATTTAATGAAAATTACTCCAGATTTGTTGTAATGGGAGATTCCAAATCCAGAAGGCAGAACTAGGAGACAATTGTAATAACCCAGGCATACGAGGCTAAAACTAATACAGTCGTCTAATCAGAATGAAAATTAACTTACATTACAGTTGTCAGTCTAAAATACCACATTGCTGAAAACTGAAAACCTTCATTTAGCCATATAGTTATTAACTTTTCAGTTAAAAACAAACAGATATTGAAATTATTTGCAAAAATTATCTTTCCTATTTTCCTAATTTATTTAGCTTGGAGAGATAAAGCCCATATGGAATATATAACTAAAATCATACAAGTAGACATCAGCATGTTGACTCGTTTTTAGTTAAATCTTTTTTCCTTTTTTCCTTATTTTTTCCACTTTTCCTAGTGTTTCTTTGTCCTTGAAGGAATTATTGTATTAACCTTTTTCTTGTCTCCTGCTTCTTAAATTTGATAAGAAATGGTCTCTATAATTTATTTCGGTTTTTAAAATTTGAATGTGGACCTTAGCACTCGTAATTTGATACAGTGTAATTGTCCTGGTCTTTAGGCAATAACCTGTTTTCATAAAAACTAGAATGATGTTGAAAGTACAAAGGAAGAGGAAAACATCCAAGGCAGGCTGCATCCAACTGATTCTGCACAGTTTCATAGAAGTTGTAATATTTATAGGATGGAATTTTGATGCTCATAATGGTCCTCTGTTGCTACCTAATCATAATTACATATTACTTTTACTAAATGATTCATGCTCTGCTTGTAAAATTTCATTTTAATTGTCATCAAAAACTATTAAGACTCACTGAAAACCAAGATACCTATGGTTAATTACTATACTGAATTTGAGTTATCAACTTGTGTTTGTATTCTAATGATATTTTAATATGAATAATCCAATATTTGGATTCAAATGCTGAAGGGA